CCCCAAAACCCCAAAACCCCACAGATACACATTATCAATGAATTTATAGTAGAATTAAATTATTCAATTTTAAATAAAGACTATTTGAAATGAATAAAAGTAAACGATCAAAGGGAAAACAACCAAGTGGGAACACATCTAGATCCGTTTAAAGAGATCAAACTTCTAATCGAAAGAGTAAGCAGGAGGAGCATGAGTATACAGTTAAAAATTCTGAATAAGACATTTTCAATAGATATATGCCTGATTCACCATCTATCAATATTAATGACTGCTTTGGTGGCTCAGCTAACTCAATGGATAAAATGATAGGTAATCCAGTAAACCAAATAGATGTCTCTAATTTCAGCTCTAAGCTGAATCAAAATTTTTTTGACTAACTCATATAAAGCAGCATTTCGAAAGAGGATCACGAACTACGAGATCTTCTAATTCCAAAGCAGTTTACTTTGTTTTCACAGTCGCCTGATATCAAAGATCTGAAGTAATTAAGATCAAGTTCTCTAAATGCTGATGGAGGAAAATCTCCGATTTCTAACAAAAAGCATAATAAAAGCACTATCTCTTCATCTGATGTGGACAAACTAAAAAGCTACAAAATAATTATCATGAAATAGGCTCAGAAACTGTCTGAGATTAAGATTGAGGTGGAAAAATCAACAGCCAATAAAGAAATGTGGAAGTAAGAAAATAAGAAGATGAGAGACGAGCTCTAAATAGTTAAGGATCTTATGCTCAAAGAGCAGTTGAAAGCTCAGGAATTGTAGAAAGCTCTGAATGCATAGAACTAGATAAAATAAGAGGACATTGAGTCTGTTTTGGATGAAATAATGTTTGCATAATAGTTGATACGAGAGGGCAGGAAGAACGATGATGTGATGTAAAGTCTAGATTACATGTCTAAGGTGCTTGGCAGGAAATCTTCCAAGCAGTAAAATAGGATTACAATATATGATGAAAACATAAGAAGCAAGAGAATCATCGAGGACATGAGAAATTAATCAAAGTCACTATAGCAGAAAGTGGATAAGTTAAATATTGAACTTGAAAAATAAAACAAATATATTCCGCAATACAAGAGGCAAGTTGCATACATGCGCTAAAATATTGAGTAAATGAGAACTGCAGTGTCAGAGTTGAATTAAGATAAATTAGATATGATTGAATAAATCTAGAGGCTCTAATCTAAGAATGATGAGTTATATCTCTAGATATAAAATGAACGTCAATAGTTTAAATAGGATATTGAGGATGTCCAAAATACAATAATGATGCTCAATGAAAAGTTGCAAAGTTAGCAGCAGAATAACTAATAGATTCCTGCTTAAGAAGAATACTACTCATTGTCTCAAGATAATATACAGTAATAATAAGATGCATTTTCATTCGCTTAGAGCAATAGCAAGAATAAAATACAGAGTAAGAATAATAATCCAAGTTTTCATCATTATGATGTAAGTGTTTAGTAATATAATGAACAAGATGATTAAGGGCTTAGTTAATCATAAACAGAATTGAGATGGAGAGAAGATTATTAATAAGAAAATAATTATAATCAATCTAATATCATACCAAAGCTTAATCTTCCTTTAAGGTCAAGTATAGTGGTTTCTAGTTAAGCTGATGAAACTGATAGTAACAGATTCCAAGTACGAAGCCATAGAAATAAGTCATTTAACACTGGAGGAGGTAGTAACTTGAAATCCTAAAGCTTAAAAAGAGATAGATTTAGTTAAATGAATAAAACTACTTCACTTTATTATGCAAAGGATCATAATCCTAGCTTTTTATAAACAGGGTCAGCAGTTAAAAGTAATTAAAAGAGTTCAGTTATTATCGAAGAAATTGAGACCCTGGATCATGAGATAAACTAGCTCTAGGGAAATCTTCTACGAGCTCTTAAAGAGCAAAATTTGAAGAGCTAGACTCTATATTGAACATTGAAACCTAAATGATCTTTTAAAAATTCTTGAAATAAATATGAATTAATTAGAAATTTATGATGATTAAAGATTAATTTAATAATTGACTATCTAGTTTGTGATATTCTACTGAGTCTCATCATAATTTAGAGATATTCTATTAATCTTAGAATTGTTTTTACAAAGCCATTTTCTCCTCTTCATAGCTAATCTATTTCTCTAAATATTCTTATCTTGACTAAGAGCCTATCATATTGTAAGTTCCAATCAATCTTTGAGACAAGCTTGGCCTGTATTCTATCATCTACATAGACTTGCCCATATAAATCTGATACCCTGCATTGAAACTTAAGTAAGAGAGACCATATATAAAACTAATGGCTAGGACATTGAAGATCTTCTCTTTTAAAGGGAAGAATTTCCATAGCGAAGCAACTCTAACACCATTTATTGATCCAATAAGAGTAAACAATCCTCCTGTCACAAATTTGCACATATAGCACTCTTTATCAAAGAGCAATTTATTTTCAAGCAGTTTTTCTTGTCTGTATCTAGATTCAAATTCCTTTCTGAATTCTGGAGTTAAAGATGATAATACATTTTCCTCAGGATTTTGCTAGCTTAATTCTGCCATCTATTATTATGGAACTTCTGTTTAATGGCCAATTGTTTTCTACTGCTCACTTTCGCTCATTTAAATATTAAATAAATATGATTATAACAACAGAATATAAATTTGAGGTTATAATTAATTTCCCAATATTAATAAAATGAGGAAAATATTTGGTAGTGCTCTCAGCTCATCATCCAAAAACTCAACCAACTTGGAAAAAATTGCAGTTATTACAAATTATTCTGCTTGCCCGTTAGGCCAAAGCTTGCTCAAAGTTCTTAGTTAGGATTATAGAGTAGTTGCAATATCTTATGATGATAAAACAAATGATGATATTAACTAAAATAATGAAAAGACCTCAAATATCATTAGATTTAAAGCACATTTAAGCGAGTAAGATGACAGAAATAGGCTAATAGCCTTCTTGAAATCAGAAAATATGGTCATTAGCAGGATGGTAAATAACCAACCATTTATGATTAGACCAACTCCCTTAGAGAAATAGATTGAAGAGGAGAAGTTAGGACTGAGGGACCACTAAGCTGCAAACCAGAGAGTGGAAGAACTCAAAGAAAAGATAAGAATATTAATTGAGACTCCGCTATTTCTGAATGGAGATTTGATAGACTAGAACGTAATAGATGATGAGGCAAGAATTCTATAAATCATACAAAAGCAGTATGGAATTTTCAGTCTCTAAAGAGCATCACAGGTGAATTTGAGAAAGTGCTTGAAGGCTAATCTTGAATAGAAAATGATAGGCATCTCTGCTCTTACCCCTGGTCTCTACTCGCCCTAATAAGTTGAATATATGAGGATAGATAAATCCAACGGTAAAGATTAAAACGATACGAAGCATGAAAGCGATATTGAATACTTAAACCCAGATGTGATTGCTATAAAAACTTATGAGAAATTATTAGGTAAAAATGCTGTTGATTTGAAAGAGTATGTGATGAAAACAGAATGGGATGCGTATGCAGATCTCAATCTAGGAAAGGCTCCTAAAATATACTCTGATGTAAATTTGTGACGAATTATTTGATTACTCACTATCATTTTCTACTTGATGGGGTTTTGGGGTTTTGGGG